ATGATTGATTGTACACTTTTGTTTGATAGGTGACTCTATACTAGATAAGTAATATTGGGGCTTATTCCTTTCTACTTTTTTTTGTGCTTTAATTTTTATTAATATGTATTGAATATGATTTGTTTATTCATATCTTTTAAATGGTCATATCAATAAGATATAATAGTTAGCTTGAAAATTTTACTTATAGCCTAAATTCTTAAAAAAATTTAAGTGCTAAGAGAAGAAAATGATAAATGACTAATGAGTTATTAATGGATACATAAGTACAATATTCTTTTAGGTGTATGTTTCTACATATGAATACAATGATTTTTTTATATATAGATGATTATTCATGAACTAAGCTATATAATAAGCATTATTCAATGATTTTCCTATTTGAAAAATCTTTTATTTTATATTTGTTTCTATAAATGTTATTGTATAATAGGTATTTTTACTCTTGCCTCTTTAATTGCTCAAATTTATGTCTCATACATTGCCATCTATATATATTTAACATAGTGTGGTTTCATCTACTGAATTTTTTTTTCTTATAAACTACACTAATTACTCTATAATTTTTTGGTTAGAATCACACGTCATCTAGAGAAGCTTCTAGCTTATGCTTTAGGTATGTCATTGGAGATTTCAGGTTAGAAGTATTTAATTGATTTAATAATAATTTAGCATTGGAATGAATTATAATGATAATTAAATTATGTTTATATTTTAGTGAATATATTAGTATATGAATTTGGTTTTTGATGCTCCGATGCACTTATTGGTAGATAAATATTTAAATCATGTTTTTGTTTTAACTTTTTATAATTATTTTTGAATTTTCAAATGGTACCCTCCTAATTGGTATCATGATCTCCTATCAAGTCCAATAAGTAGGATTTGATGGAGTGGTATTAGAGCCTAGGTTTGATCATCTAGGCTTAATCTTAGCAAGGATTATTTTTTGTGGGAAGAACCTTGACCTCTTATTAATTTTAATTTATTCTTGAGATGCAATAGATGAAAATTCAAGATTTATGTATAAGTATAGTCATGGTGTTGAGTTCATGGAATATTTCATTTAATTTTGATGCTAATTTTGATTAATTTCTCATGTATCAAAGATATTTACATTTATATAATTTTATGATATGATAGTTTGTCATAGAATTTATATATAAGCTTTTATATAATTGGGCATTTGTAAGTATACGATGCAATTTTAACATATTAGAATTTTTAAGACTTCGAGTATTCTTTGAGAAATAAAATCAATAACATTCAAATTAATATACAACAACAACAACAACAACATCAAGCCTTTATCCCACTACGTGGGGTCGGCTACATGAATCCTTTGTCTCCATTGTGTCCTATTAAAATTCAAATTAATATATGCAAACTTAATTTATCTTATCATTTAATGAGCATCAATAGTAAAAGCGTGTATGATTTAATGTTTACATACAATAAGATCACAAGATGTGTCTATAATTAATTGACAAGGATTATTTTTATTCAAGGGAGGTTGTATTCATGTATTTTGTTTGTTTTAGCATAATAGTTACAATTAAAACTCCTTATAAAATTGTGATGTTTAAAATAATTGATGTTTCTTGCATTTTTATAAATGAGTTTTTTTTTTAAATAGGAATGATTGGTTACATTACTAATCATGTATTTTATTTAAATATAAACTAAAATGATTGTAGGGATACATTAAAGCTTATAATGAATGGTATTGTTGTAAACACATTGTTTTTTGTTACAAGGAATTAAATAAGTGGTATATATATGATTCTATTGGTTTGGTTATTACCAAGCATGGGATCTATGTATTTTTTTTGAATAAGGAGGTTCTAGGTGTAAGAATATATTGAATAATTGAACAACATGTGTTAATTTTATAACATAAGAAAAGGTTTAAGCAACCAAGTCAAATTTAATAATATTATGATATTATCTAGTGTTATGATAGTTGATATATTGTAAATATTTGCTTATTAGGACATTAATTTGAATCATATATTGGAGTTATTTATAATGAATATAATGTTTGATTGTTCTCTTGATATGCTTATAGCAATGTGCTGCACCTTTCAGAGTACTATTTGATTGTGTCTATAATTACATAGTGATATATAATTTTTTTTTTTTTTTTTGTTATTAGATTATTTGATACTCATGGCCTAATTCAATTAAGGAAATGTTAGCTTTTCTTATTTTCTTAATTAAATTTACTACAAGCATGATTTGGTCATGTGCTTATAATATGATCGTGTGAGCATATGATATTTTTTATATTATCATAAGATCACTTCAAAGATGTGATGTTTATGTTTATTTTTTAGATATAATGTTTTTTATCTAAGATTGTCAGAAACTAATATTTATCATTGCCCTATGATGTTATTGGACACATGAGATTTTAGCTCTTAGGGCAATAGGATTTTCTTAATAACACTCATATCTATTGTTGTGCTGCATTGTTTAAATTTATTTGATCTAATATGAGGAAAGCTAGGCCTTACCTAATTGTAATTTAACTCTTTGAGTTCAACGAGCAATTATCTTAGGCTTACTACTATTCTATGATGATTGTAAGGGAGTGTTTGTTAAAATGGAATTGCTTGTTTGCTCTCTTTACTTCATGATGTTATTGTAGGCAAGATGTGACCTTACATGTTCTTTGTATTATTCTGCATTGTTTGTGTAAGATCTAGTTAGTGTGATGATTTACTAGTTTATCCTAAGATTGAGACTTGCTTCCTAGGTGACATCATACATTTAATATTGTAGTTTTACAATTTGTTATGATTTCTTATTGAATGATATTATTCTTTTCATAATTCTCACATCTATTTATTTGTTTGAGAATGTAAGGGTCCTATAAAACCTCAATTCTCGAAGTAGTGTTATATAAATGAATGGTTCCGCAAATCGAGACTTTACTTTGAGTACACCTCATTTCATATTTGGCATGTGTGATTATTCTCATTTTGCTATTGTAATATAGTTTTGATGTCATGTCGAAATGTGAAATTGACGTGTCATAGATTTTGCATCTCATTTTGGTTGTTTTTTTTAATGATTAGGTGCCAAAAAATTTTTTGACTTGAATGACTTAGTAGTGATTGAATGTATGTCTGACCATTTTGGCTAATATTGTGAAATATAAACTTTAGTCTTAAGGATTGTGTGAAAGAACTATTACTTATGTATTATAAGTGATTAATTTTAATTTTTAGGATGAAATTCTTTGGATGTTGGGAGAATATAATAACCATTTCTCTTTCTTTTCTTAGGATCGAATTGAACCAACTAATTCAACATTTTTCTTTTCTTTTTTTCTTTTTGTAGCCTCTTTTGTTTTTAGTAAACTCTTTAGCTAAGACCTTAAGTCTCAACTGAATAGTGTAGGAGCGAGAGAAGACGAGCAAACGAGCAAGAGAGGAAGGCAGTGGAGACGAATGACATGAATTAAGGCAACGAGAAACTTTGAGGCATATAGCATGTTTTGTGCGAGCATGAGCGTGAAAGAGGTGTCTATGTCTAAAATGAGTTTGATTGAGAGGATTCAGGAAAGAGAAGGGTAAAGAAGTTTTGATAATTGTTCATGCGCCTCACATCTCTATTATCCTCAGCTTCTTATGTTTAAGTGATAAACTCAAACCCTAAAATCCTTAGGTTATCAATTTATATTTGCTTCTATGTGCATTAAGGTTTATAAGTAAGACTAATTGAAATTTTGATGGCGAACTTTTAAGGAAAAATTAAATCTAAATTTATTTTTAATGTGTAAGTGGTAGTGGTAAGGGTAATTTGAGAGGTTTGGAGGCACTCAACCCTATTTTATCATCCCTTGGATTTGTATATATATATATGGTAAGTGAATATTTTTCACATTTGAAAAATAATGATTATTCATTTTCATAAATAATTCTTTAAAAACTTTGTTGTTAGCTAAGTACTATTCAATGATTTTCCCATTTAAATTCTCATTTTATATGTCTGTAAGTACAGTATGATATTCATTTTTACACATGTACCATTCATTAGTTATATTTATGCCACATGCTTGCATTTACATTAATTGAAATTTAACCTTCTCAATTTACTTCTTACAAACTCATACTTATTACTTCATAATTTTAATATTATAAACTGTACATTAACTAAAGAAGTTTTTAGACTCACGCTTGAAGTTTATCATTAAAGGTTTGAGGCTAAGGCTATAAGTGTTTAACTTATTCAATAATTACTTGTTTCCTGAATGAAAATATTATAATAGCTAACTTTTATTTACAATGTCGTTCATAGATTAATATATTATTTTACATTTAAAAACTATGATGCTTAATCGATGGAAAAATATTAAAAAAAAAAAAAGATCTTTTTTTACTTACTAAAATCATTTCCGAATTTTCAATTCGCCTTATAATCCTAAGTTGAGCTTCACTGAAATCGAACAATGTTTTTGTAAATAGTGAAAGCACCTAAATTTTTTCTATATTTTAAAAATAAATTATTTTTAAATAAACAACTAAAGACAACTTAAAAAATATAATTTATTATTAATAAAAAAAAAACAAGAAGTAATCTCAGACCAGCAATTAATTATTCTATGCGGATACCAAACGCCGTCCGGAGACGAATAAAAACACGTCACATCATTTTCTTTATTGTGAATCAATATTGTATACCGTTGTAATATCAGGTGGCGTGACGTGCTTTCATTCGTCTCCGAACAATCCACCGTCCACACAGAATAATTTCTAGAGACCAGTAGCAAAATATCATATGCAGACTAAAGTTAACTTTATAATATTTTAAAAAATAAAAGATAAAAGTGGCTTTGATCTCTTTTCAATTTCTTACAAAGCCAACAATCACTAATTGCTTTTGTCTAACATAATCTAGTAATAATTGATAATTAGTTCTTAAACATGATTTACTGCATAAAAGTGATTCTGGAACAGCTCAATCAAATTGCAAATAGTAAAGCAAACACAAGCTTAATAACAACTTGATCTATTCATGCAGCATTTAGCTGCCCACGCAGAGCCAAAGGAGCATCACCATTAATAAGTTTTTTTTAATATATAAAAACAGTGAAAGTTAAAATTCCATGAAAACCAGCACAAGATTAGCTTTCAGAAAGGAATTCGTGCTTGTATTGAATAAATATGACCATAGATCAGCAATCACCAGGAATAATTTATGATTAAGTTGACGGTAGAAGTTGGATTAATAAAGATCAACGTGGTGCATATAGTTCATAGGCCGCTCCAGATTAATCACCAAATAGTGTTGAAAGAAGCAGGTCCTGCACAAAATTTGCCCTGACTGTAGCTTGCCACCGTTTCTGTTCCCTCTCCTCTTTGCTAAGTGAAAGGTCAATACTGCCAAAGACAAGAACTGGAAATTTAAATTTTGATCTTAAGATATTTTAAGAAGCGCATGCTGCATGTTCTTGAACATCACTGGGAAAATATGACATTCCAACTAACAGTACATTACAGTTCCTATTTATAGTCTATGATTGGCATCTTTGGAAAGCGAAGTTATGACTTTGAGATATGCATAAGTGATCAATATATGAAACATTTATCATTAAGGTTTCGTTTGGGATAACTTTCTTACTACTTCTTAAAATAATTTTTTAATATAAAAAATTAATTTTTTTTATTAGAAAGCTATTTTTTAAAGCAGCAAGAAAGTCATACCAAACAAAGCCTAAGTTGTCTGTGCAAGCGCTTAACTGAAAAAGCATGTAGCATGATTCGAAAAAACATTTTGATATTTTGACGTCATGATAGTTCTGCTCAAAACATATACTATTTTATGACTCAGAAGACAACAATATCGATGTAAGTTTACAAGGTCAAGACTTGAAGGAATTAAAAAAAAAAATAAAAAATACAGAGCTTCTATTAAAAGAAACAAGAAAGCATCAAGTATTAGAAAAAGTCTTAATCAATTATGGATTTTGACTAAGAAAAGCAGCATCCTCCCCCCATCCGGAAAATTATTGAGTTCGGACACCGGATGTCATCCAGAGCCCAATAAAAATGCGCCACATCACCCCCTACTTGGTACTCGGTACCGAACCCAGTATTTCACAGTACCGAGCTCAGTATTACTCGGTACTGGATAATGTGACTGCACCTGATTGGTCTCCAAACGATAAGTTGTGTCTGGTGTCCGAACCCATTAAATTCCACCCACAAGCTTGCACTTCCCATTCGGATTTCCAAGGTGGCACTCTCCCCTTTCAATGGCTCAACTCCACACACAAGGATTGGCCATATTAAAAAAAAAAAAGATTGGCCATATTTTCTTCTCCTGATCGCCTCTCGGTTCTCTGATTGGGTCAGAGCTCTCGTTCACTCCACAGATGGACAAAACCGCATTCTCTGCCCTCTCCTCCCCCTCTTCTTCCATTATGCTTGGTAAGAATCCATCAGCTTCAAATTTGAAAAATTTTTCACTGCAAGTGTTCTATCTTCCTCCAACTTCTCCCTAAACTACATTTTCAGTTAAGAGGACAAAGTATGCTTCTTGGATGGGGAAATCGATGAAGGCGACATACCTTGGACTTTTGACTTCAGCCAACTTTATTTTTGGCAAACACCACTTTTATGTTAATATGTTTCAGGCTGTGAGTAAACTATGAAAACTCAAAGGTAATCTTAAACTTTTTTCTCTTGTTGATGGTTTTTTTTTTTATTTAAGTTCAACTGCAGTGAAGATATGGACAAAATGAATAATGGAGATACTTGGTTTATTAACTATAGACCTCTCATATTTATGAAATAGACTCCTGATTTTAAACTCGTAAAAGAGTTTCAAAGAGGGTTCCTATATGGGTTAAACTGCAAACTTTCTAACAATATTGATGATCCGAAACTGGGTTTCCAAAATTTCCTGGAAGATCAGAATTCTCCACATACCTTTTAGCCCCTTAACAAAAAATGAGCTAGACTGACCTTTACTGAAGTGTTTAAATTTTTGCTACATTTGTCCTACCAGAATTTATCATCTTGACCATCAAAGGAGGATGGTTTTTGGCCAATTTTGTATGAACGGAATCCAGCCACTTGCTAGGCTTGAAATATATTTGTTCATGATGCCTTTAGCTGCCCTATGTTACCCAACTACCATCCATCAATGCCCATAAACAATCTTCATACGAGTGGAAGCCAAATTAGAATAAAAAGCTTTCTCAATAGGGTAATGGCTACCCCAAACTTGTTTGTTTCTCATTATCGGTTGTTGCCTCAACATTTCATAGAATAATATAACCCCCCTTCAAAAAAAAAAAAGAAAAAAACTAAATGCCAAAAGACTATTCCAATCTCCCCTCAACATTTCATAAACCTTCTCATCATACCAATACTATCTGCACCCCTCTACCTCATCTTCTCTAATTAAAGAACGGGAATTGTATTGGATAAACTTGGTAAAGGAGCAGTTGGTACTAGCTCTGATGCTACCCTGGCTTGATATAATAATCCATAGTTGATTTAGCTCAATTCCAATAACAGTCCAGCTGAAAGAATAGAAAAGGTATACCTAATGGTGCTACCTCTCAACTTTCTCAGTAATTTATGTTTCTAAATATTGTTACTTGGGATGTCACAAGGTTACCTAGTAATTCAAGAATCACTAAATGATAAAATATTACTCGGGATCACCAAATGAACCTTCTTTGTCTATTCAAGAAGAAAGTTATTTCGTCTTATATCTCTAATCCCTTTATTATCAGGCAATTTATGATATATCCTCAAGAGGGAAAGTTGGCACAATTTCCAGTGTTCTTCTAATGGGAGTATTTGGATTAAATGGGATTCTTCCAGAATGTCCTCTCTTTTGGTAACTAATGCTCAATTCATTCATACAACAACAACAACATCAAGCCTTTGTCCCACTATGCTCAATTAATTCATGAAAGATTAAAATTCTCATATGCTATCAACGTTTTCGTCATGTTTATCCGCATTGGAAAGGTGCTTATCTACACATAAGAGAGAGATCCTCTCTCCCGCTAAACCTAGACGCCGCTAGGAAGCCCTCACAAAAGAAAACTATAGCAAACACAACTCAAATTCTGCATAAAACAAAATAACTCTAAACTTTTCCTTAAATAAGCTCCCCCCACCTTCTTAGCCCTCTTTCCTAATATATTTCCCTCCTAATTCAGCCATCCTGCCTTAATTAATTCCCTCTCTTATTTGAATTTAAATTAGGAAATTCCTTTCCTAGTTAATATCCTACTAACCAAGTAATTAGATCCTTGTTGGACCCCACCAAAATCGCTTGAGCATTTTGGTAACTAATGCTCAATTCATTCATACAACAACAACAACATCAAGCCTTTGTCCCACTATGCTCAATTAATTCATGAAAGATTAAAATTCTCATATGCTATCAACGTTTTCGTCATGTTTATCCGCATTGGAAAGGTGCTTATCTACACATAAGAGAGAGATCCTCTCTCCCGCTAAACCTAGACGCCGCTAGGAAGCCCTCACAAAAGAAAACTATAGCAAACACAACTCAAATTCTGCATAAAACAAAATAACCCTAAACTTTTCCTTAAATAAGCTCCCCCCACCTCCTTAGCCCTCTTTCCTAATATATTTCCCTCCTAATTCAGCCATCCTGCCTCGATTAATTCCCTCTCTTATTTGAATTTAAATTAGGAAATTCCTTTCCTAGTTAATATCCTACTAACCAAGTAATTAGATCCTTGTTGGACCCCACCAAAATCGCTTGAGCATTTTGGTAACTAATGCTCAATTCATTCATACAACAACAACAACATCAAGCCTTTGTCCCACTATGCTCAATTAATTCATGAAAGATTAAAATTCTCATATGCTATCAACGTTTTCGTCATGTTTATCCGCATTGGAAAGGTGCTTATCTACACATAAGAGAGAGATCCTCTCTCCCGCTAAACCTAGACACCGCTAGGAAGCCCTCACAAAAGAAAACTATAGCAAACACAACTCAAATTCTGCATAAAACAAAATAACCCTAAACTTACCTCGTCGTAGGTGTCGCACCGGGTTCCCTCCTACCACGGCCACCAAAGGCGTGCTTAGGTGGTTTGCCGGTCCGACACGGACGTCGAGGTGGAGAGTGGAGGGGATTATTTAAAATTAATTTAAAATAAATTAATTATAATTAAGTTTAATCATAATTAATCATAACTATTATTATTTAATTATTATTAAAATATATTTAATATATAATTAATCTGATTTATATTTAATTATAAATAATTATTAATTAATTAATAAAATAAAACAATCATTCATAATTAAATTAAATTAATTATAAATGATTATAATTATTCATTAATTAATTATAATTAAAGTAATTAAATATAAATAATTAATTATATTTAAATATAATTAATAATAATTAACTAATATTAGGATAATTAATTATAATTAAATTAAATTAACTATAATTAATATTATTTTTAATTGATTTATAATTAAATAATAATAAGTAGATAAAATTTCCCCTCCCCTTCTCTTCTCTATTCTCTCTACATTTACGGGATATGGCCGAACAAGCACGTGAAAGGTAGAACGTTACCTTCACAGCAACCGAGCTCTCGGTTGCTCCCGATCAAAATGTTATAACTTCTGATCCAGCGGGCAGTGGGGGATCCCGTCCAGAGAAGTGGAGTCGGGTAGGAGAGGAGGTTTCAGCTTGGTGAGAAGGTGGCTTTGGCTTCGGTTTGCTATGGAGTTTGTGTGGAGTTGGAGAGGGAAGCTCGGAGAAGCGTCGAGAGAGAGTGGGAGGTCGAGAGCTTCGTGCGAGGGAGAAGTATCGTGAGAAGAGAAGCAGAGAGTGTCGTGGGAGAGGGATTTCTTGCGAATGGGAGAAGAGCGATCGGTTGGCTTTTAAAGGCGTGGGAGATCAGCGATCGAGGAGCTTCACGTGATTTACGGGATTTGATCGCAAACGGCGCCGAATCGGTACATATGTGGGATTTCTTGCGGGATTCCGGGCGGCTTCTCGACGGAGCAAAGGTATGTTTGTTTCTTCCTTTTACGTATTATACATTGGTCAACAACTATAACAAAAGAGGGGCATAAAGTAGTTCACTCCAATGGCAGAGATCCATTGTAGTTCAAAAACTGCAAACATTTGCTAGTATTATTGTTGCCACTTATGGTTAATAATCATAACCTCAAAAACTGCAAACATTTGCTAGTATTATTGTTGCCACTTATGGTTAATAGTCATAACCGAGTAATAGTAATTTCATAGTTAAAAACTAAATAATTACAAATTTCATCATCAGTCTTATCCTAGTTACCACATTAAGTGCTTTTTTTTACTAATCCAGTCAAGATTTTAAGACATTGCATGGTTCCAATTAAAACATTGAGTGAAAAAAATAAAATGACCAGACAAATAGTAACGACATGAAACATTCAAAAGTATAGGCAATGTAAAAGCTCGAGGTTATCAGAACTCTATTATTTCCTCTAAAAAAAGATCAACTTATTGTTTCGCTGAACGGCCCTTAAGAACAATATTCAAAGATTACAAAAAGCAAAGAAAAAACATGTAGGAAAAAAACATGTAAAGCAGATAAAACTTATAGACGACAATAACAACAACATCAAGCCTTTGTCCCACTACGTGGGGTCGGCTACATGAATCCTTTTTCTCTATTGTGTCATGTTAAAAGTCAAATTCTTGTTTAAATCTAATAAAGAAAGATCATTTCTAATATTTTCTAACAAAGTTTTTTTAGCTCTACATCTACCTTTCTTAATATAAGTCAGATAAAACTTATAGAAATGAAAGAAAATTGAGAAGGAGCCCAGTAATGGTTCAAAGGCTAAATTATAATAAATTATATTAAATTTATTTCTTTATTAACACGTCAAAGTCATTGGGCTTTATCCCTCTGTTAGAGATTCTCAAATATCTCCCCAAAAATATTAGTTTCTAGTAGTAACATTAAAAAAATTAACATTACCTTGATTTCCTTATCTGTGCTGGTGTTGTATTTTTGCTAGCAAAATCATCACCACTAGAGAAGGAAGATTTGGAAATTTCTTCAGCTTCAGATGAAGGAAAATTTAAAACAATAGATGAAAGCAATGAATCGGTTGCTGCAGTTGAGGCACCAGTGTTGCTAGACCGATAAGTCCCACTTCCCAAAAGAACCTGCAGGTGAGCCTCACGAAGTTCCCTCCCTAGAAGTGAAAGCCCTTGGCTATTTGGAATAGCTACTCTTCTTAGCCTTCGACGTCTCTGCAAGTAATCCGCAGTCAAAGAAAAATTACAAATTCCTGCAAGCGTCATCCTACAACTTACTAGGCTTTATGGGAGGTTTGACAATGTTTTTAGAGTTAAGCCAGCGGACTCACATCAGAATATTGAATATTAAGTTATCGCAGCCTATTTTATTAAACCAATACAAACAAAATGTTGTAAACAGTTGGAATCTCATATTTTAATAACCAGCTCATTATTTAATTAAAAATGTATTTGTAACCCGTCACTTGATTATGTTGTTTTACTTTGTTGTAGTTATGTTAAAGCCAGGTTTTTTCCCTATCAATGACTTTGTAAGAAAATATGAACAGAAGGAATTGATCATCTGAATATAATATAAGCATTTCTATAGGTTTACAAAGAATCAATCAAGATTGTAAACATTTTATTACTTTCCTTCATATTTTTTGGTTTCATTTTATTTAAATCATGTCCCTCAAAAGTGATAGTAGCTACCAGTATTATTTTTTAGATGAAATAATACTGCACTGTTACGAAGTATATTTGAGCTAAATGTGCCAACGTAGTAGGATTTTAAATCCCATTTTCAGCTATATTGGTAGATAAAAACTATTGGAAAGGATATCTTGTAGAGTTGCCCGTGTTGCAATGTAATATGACTCAGCATGTCTCTTGCAACCTTTACAGAACAAATGGGGCAGACCTGAAATAAGGAAAACGTGATCGCAAACATCATGTAAATAAGTAAATTCAACCTGCTACACTACTGCTTCAATCACAAATTAGATATGATTTTAGAAATCTGGATGAGCAAGCTATTAGGGGAAACAAAAAACTTTTTTCCTGAAGCGCCAGCCGGGAGAAAATAAGATAAACTCACAAGTAATAAAAGAGATCAAAGGTCAAAAGAAGACAAAAATTTTTATGTGATTTAATCAAAATAATAACTTACATTGACAATAGAGGAGAGGGGATAAGCCGCTATAGAGAAACCACACAAATATACAAATTAAAATACTATTCCTCTGACCCAAATCCCACACCTGATCTCAAAGAGAAGCTGCAAATCTTTAAAACTAAAAAAAAAAAACTTGCAAAAATCTTGCTGAAATATAAACAGAGAAGAGAATAAACAAAAGAATTTTAAATGCTACAAGTATAAAGATCTCCAACACATTCTTCTCAAAGATGTCACCATGAATGAGATCAAAAATAAGAAGTCTCAGCCTCATTATGAATTTGATATGATATTAAAAAATTGACTTTAATCAAATAAAGCTATATGGATTTGTTTTGAGATTAACTTCTGGTCCCAAGAAACAAAGCCCATGCCTATGTTGATTGCATCACACAACACCGCCTAAAATCATATGTTTTAATTCTCTTGCGAAAAGTCAAGCTCACAAGCCATATCACTTGGATTCAGTTCCTTAAATCTAGCTTTTCAAGCTATTTAGCACCTAAATTCAAGCAAAATTCAAATAAAAAACCCTAGTGCAAAAGTAGAACTGCACAATATCATATGGGGTACATCTAATTATATTTGAGGTGATTCTCAAAAACTTTGCCCACAACTCTAATTTGTGACAATATCTTAGATATCCTCTGTCCCTCTTCAAATCAAATTCCTCAAGCTCCTAAAGCCTCAAAGAGTTGATGGTAGCACAATCTCACAGTTTAAATTATTCAAAATGAGATTGATCTACCTTATCATATCATATAATTTTCCTCACGATATATTCCCTCTTTTGTTCAGAAACTTGACCTGCAGCTAAGACGTTAAATATTTTTTTCTAATTACGTAAATCATCATACTCTAACATAGAAAACAAAACTAATGCAGCTCCACTCAACAACAGTCTACCACATCTTTTCATCTTTATTGCAACTAAATCTTTAATTTAAATTTTATGTACTTTAACATTTCCCAAGAATTGTATCATGCATCAATGAAGCACTCAAAGATATAAGATTTTCCAAAGATTTGGTACATCCTTATGTTGGATCCAATTGTGTCTACGGGCAACACCCGACTTTATTAGCAGGCTTATTCGGAGAGCTAGTGTGTTGGAATCTATGTGGGATGAGAGTAGGCAGAAAATTGGAGAGGAGAGAAGTCGTAAAAAGCTTAAGAAAACTATGAGTCTCAAAGCAGCATGTCATCTAGTAGAATCAGTCAAAAGTACCCAACTCCTCCTTATCATCTCTTATTTAAAAGGCTCTGAAGGCTAAAGGAAAGGAGAAACCAAGAAAAATAAAAAAGTATAATGACACACAATATAGCCAGGACATATGTCACATCTTGATTGATTGAGAAAGAGCTAGCACTACAAAATCATGATGAGCTATTTTTGGGCGAGCTCTGTGATGCCAAGTGGGAGCGAGCGAGTCTGCGAGCGTATGCTAAACAAGGTGAGTTCGGTGATTGGGCGTCGAATTGGGATAGTGGGTAACCAGTACTGAGCCTTGCACTGCCTCAGAAGAGAAAGTGAGTGAGCTGAAGTGGTTGAAAAGGCAAGCTTAGTGGTCGATGTTGGTAGGGTGAATTGATGGTCCCTTGTAGTAGGGACCTTACTATAGTTGAACATGGTGAGCTTGTATGGGAGAAATCAATATAGAAGAGAGCGAATGACTGAGATGGTGGATCAAGTTCATTGCGAGTGTTGAGCTACCAGCTTGATTAGGAATCTCTGATTCGCCTTGTAAAAGGGCGACCTCCTTGATGGGCCTGTATAAACACACGAGTGCATACAAGTATATGATAATTTTTTAGAATGATTTATGCATCTTAATAATTTATTATCTATCAACTATATATAATACATAAAATAATATAAATTATTTAATTATGATAAATAAAATATGTAATAATATTATTATTAATTATGCAAAAAATTTAATGCCTATTATAATATATTTTTCACAGCTTATATTATGTATGAAAGTATGAAGGTATGCGGGTTTTTGTATGTGTGAGTGTTACTATTAAGTGTCATAATTAATGACTTCCAGAAGTATAAATTTAGAACATAAAAGCACCTAGTCAAAGATCTAAGAATTGGACAAGTCAATTCTCACTCCCCACTTCAAACAATTAGTTAAGTGGCCACTTGCCCCCACTTCCTACTTCTTATAAATAAACAAGAAACCATCATCTAAATTTTCATTGAAATAATTTATAACAATACTAGCATCAACAAAATTATCCTCTTTGTGGTTGTCACTCACAAGCCAATCCTTTTTGAAAGTTTGATTCTTTCTTCTCATGTCTTATTGTTCTAATTTCTAACAAGAGAACCTAGTCATGTCATTGTATCTTACATGAAACTTACTTTTACCATTGATAGAGATAGATTAAAAGATCTCCCAAATCAATAACCTTAGCTTACTTTTCATCTTCTACACCCTTAAGCTCAGCAATCACATCGTTTACTAAACTTTACTCTTAAAATCTTCTAAATTAGTGATATATATATATATATATATATATATATATACATAGTGTCCTGGAAAGCATACAAAGATAGAGGTAAAAAGCATCCGAGCAAAAAAAATTGATTATCATTATAAAATCGTATCTCAGTTTCAAAACACTGAACCAAATCCAAAAGGAAGCGATTTAATGGTGGTCATGCATAGCAATTAGGATCCTTGCTTCCAATAAAATATGTTGGAAATGATTATGGTGATATATAAAACTCCCGCTTAAACGACAACCTTTTTAGTTTCCTCCAAAACCTCTGTTAATATCTCCTCCACCAAATATAGTTGGATTGTTGAGAGAGATTCTCCAACAATCTTAAAGCTTATACATATTTGAATGCACCATAAGTTCCTTTGCAAGGCCCTACTAGATTAGCATACCTCAAATCTTGATTTTCCAAAACTCAAAACACTTGAAATAATCAATTTTACAATGTCATACTTCATGTTCATCATATTACTCATTGAACTCTAATATTAGTTATTAATAAAAACCTAACGTTTTATGTGAAAATGCCAAGCAGGAGAAAATACAATGAACACATAAAATAATAAAAAAAAATCAAGCACCATAAAAATGCATCAAAATTTCAATAGTTTTACCAAAACAATATCCTCATCAACAAGAGAGAAGAGAGGATTAAATCCACTATAAAAAAAGTCACATAGACATACAAATAAAAGAGGCCTCATATATGTCTAATAAACAAATAGGAGAAATTACTAATATCTTGCAAAAAAATATTATATATATATATAGCGCACACACAAAAGAGAGCAGGAAAGTAAATAAAGAATCTAAATAATACCAATATAGAAGTTCCTACCATATGCAACTCAAAAATAAAATCATGTAATTTCATGCAACAGCTTAGAGATACTAAGTCTCAATCTCGAAGTAATCAAGGGTTTCCCAGTTTTTCTTTATAAACCTTTTAAGGATTTCCTGCTTGTCATTTATATAAAGGCATGCCTTACCACATAAGGAATCAAATATGATAATAAAAAACAACATTTAATCAAATAAAGCTGTCAGGATTTGCTTTGCGATAACTTTCAGCACAAGCAAGTTCAAGCCTAGTTGATTGCCCGTGTATAAATGACTAAAATCTTGTAATTTAATTACATAATTGCCACAGGATAAGCTCACATACACATCACTTAGATTAGGATTTCTTAAATCTTGCGTTAATTCAGCACTTCAAGCTTCCCTCCAGTTCAAAAAACTATCAATAATGGGTGTGACCAGCTAATTATATTTGAGGTGATTCTCAATACAAGCATGGGTAACCTCTGAACCTTTTACTTAATCCTTGCTTAGTCCCAAAAGGTAGTTGAAAATTATTTAGTAATGCTACCTTGTAAAATGTAGCTTCAACGAAGTTATTCTAGAGACTTAGAGTAACAAATGATATTGCATTCTTATGAAAAGTTTAGTGCCTATTTGGGATCACTTTAATTTTTTATTTTTGTTTTTTATTCATAAAACATGTTCGTTTGGTGAATTTTTTAATTATTTTTAATTTTTCTTTATTAAAATAAAAATCAAAACAACTTTTCGGTACATTGAGTACTTTATAAAACAACTATAATTGTTAGTGACAATGCTGACCATCATCTCCTCATTGATGGCTGCCACTATCCAGCCTACAACCACTGCTATTGTCGCATAAATAATATAAATATATTTTCAAAATGCAAAATATGTTTTATTTTTATGTCCAAATGTACATAAAATAAAATAAAATAAAAATTAAAAATATCCCAAATGATAAGCAGTGGAACCTCTTACATAACTAAATTGAAAGAAAATTACGTGTTTTAAATCCCCTATATCAAAGTGGAGAACTTTTTTTTTAATTTTTTTTTTAATTTTATTTTTATTTTATTTTATTTTATTATTTTTTTATTTTTTTATCAAAGTGGAGAACTTATTCATTGAATCTATGTTGCGAACTTTAGATTATTTAGTAGATGATGCGCTACTGCATTACATTGTAATAGTATCCTAGTGATAGGATAATCACTTGTTGACGACAAAAACTTCATCGGAGACAATTCAAGAAAAAATCATTCTGAACTTGTTAAATTCTTGCTTCATTAATTATGAACATGGTTGTCATAAACTGAATCAGATTATCAAGCATAACTCATTGAAACTGTTGATTTATCTCTTAATCTGAGCTATTGGTTGGTTGTTAGTAAAGTTGATTATTTATC